CTGTACTTGTGCGAGTAATTACCAAAGTCAAGCCATTCACGATAGTCCTTTTGGTTTGACGGAACCAGTCAACAATTGAGTTTAACCTTAGCGGGATCCACTCGAAAGCCAAGCTTTTCAATGAAGGACCCGAGAAGGAAATTTATTCTGCACCAAAAATGCATTTTGATGCATACACATACAGTTTGTTTGTGCGTATCTACTCGAGCACTGCTCGTAAATGGTAAATGTAATTGCCATATCGGATCGGTCATGGTCTGCACGGCTATGGACGAAGATTTTATCGAAATAGCTTTGTGCATATCCTCGGTGAGATTGGAAAAATTGCGTCACAAGACGATTACATATAGTCGGGGCATTAAACAGCCCTTGAGGCATGACAAGCCACTCCCAAAACATGCCGATCGGAGTACTAACCGCTGTGAGCGGAATATCACTCGTTTGCATGAGCAGTTGAAAATACACATCGGCCAAATCCAGTGCATTGAACATGGTACAACCCACTATAGCGTTCTAGAGAACGTATTTTCTGGGAATAGTTGTCTGTGCGGTACAGTGGCTGTTTTAAGCTTTTTGTAATCATACACAATGCGCTACTTGCAATTTGGCTTTACGACACAAGATGTCGGTGTCGAGTGCGAAGACGTGCTCTCACACACCATGCCAGCCTCGTGCTTTGCACGAAAGAACTTGTCAATGATGTCACACTGCTCCTTTGGTAGGGTCCATTGCCGTGACACACAAAATTTGGTTCCAGGAACAGGTCAATTTCATGACGCTCGCCTCGATCAGGAGGCAGAGTGGAAGGTATATCTTAACACAACACATCCTAAAACTTCTGTCTTAAATGATAAAACGGGTTTTTAGGATCTTTCGATATCGATGACCCACTTCGAGCACTCAGTTCCGCCTTTTTGTCTTTTAACAGCCTTGACAAGAAGTGACGACGAGTTCAACTCACTATCGAGTTTAATGAAGGCCATTATAGATAAGTTGCCTGACTTTAAAGTCAGGCCAAACTTATCGACAGACATTTCGTCTAGCTCTTACATGGAAATTAGTGAAGATAGAGTGTCAAGACTCACGGACCTATCTCCGTCACCTGTCACTTATTAACGAGTGTATAGATTCTCGCTAGGACCACTCAGTGGATTAGCATACGCCTTGCGTTGCACAACAGCAACCTGGCGTCGCTGTCGTCGCTGTGACTAGACGGAACGTATCAAAGAGGCTGAAAATTTCTCGTTCCTAAGTTTGATACAATCATTATCCTTAAATTTATCTGTACAAGAGACGGTGTCACTACTGAAATTCGGGACACTGATGTCTTCAAGGTTGACATGATCATCAACCTTAAGTTGCTCATTACCGGAGCCGATGTCACTACCGACATCCGGGACTTTACCGCCCGTAAGGTGACGAACTGCGTCAACCTCAATTAGACCAAGATAAGGGCCGATGGCATTAACGACATTTGGGACTACGTTGCCCCAAGGAAACGAACTACGTCAATCCTGATTTAATCTATGTAATTCCGATGTCATTATCTACATCTGATGATGAGTCACTTTCAGTTATATCACCACAAAGTGGGTACTTACGTGCCACTCCACGCTCGTCCGATAGGCCTCGCCCTTAGAGAATTGTTATTGACCAAAAGTGTATTGACTGATATTCATTGTGTCGGAATCACGGCCAGCATCACTCAATGGGTACTCACGTGCCACTCTATGCTCATCATATGGGTTCATCCCATGATGACGTGGCTTAAGGCCAACAATGCGCTCAGCGTTCATTGATTCGTTATCACGACGATTATCAATTGACGTAGTACGTGCCCTTTCTACTTGTAGTCAACGAGCTTGTCTAGTAACTACTGTTTTTGACGTCCTCATCCGAAGCCATGCTCGCGCCCACGTCTGACTATGGCTACACCCCGTCGCCCTCCATGGGCTACGACCTGCATCGCCCAACTCAAAGAGTCTAGCCATATCGATGCCCAGCACATTGACTGTCTCAGTCCGTATCTCGCGCCAATAGCGCTTCTGTTTTCTAGCAGAGATGGGCTCATGGCTTTCCAAAACTCCGCTAGGAACTGTGCACGTTGCGCCTAAGGTCTTGTACCTCCAATCATTCCATGGATCATGGAGTTCTAGACAAGCAATACTAAGGATGAGATCATCATACATTTATCCAAGTCAGAGACCAGACAGCGTTCAATACTGTCATTATCCGAACGTTTAAGGCCTAAGTTCACAGGTACTTTAGGAACAATTACTAATGCACCTGTCGCCAAGCGTACGGTGATAGTCTCACTCTTTCGCGCTCTCAGCGCCTCTGCATACTGCTGAATCACTTCCGTGGAACAACGTCGGAAATAAATTTCCCTACGATCTGGAGTCGATCAATATCTACCCCTGGATTATCAAAGCCCTTTACTGTTGCTTTCACAACTATTAAGCCTGGCTTGTACGCATGCTTCGTGACATTGCTCACGAAGCCACTTAGGGCTAGGCCTGCTCTCCATCACCTCATAGAGGTACAACAAAGCCTAATTTTTCCCCAGCAGGACGCCACGTGCCTACTGGGACTCGACGTTGCCCGCGCCTTACCAACTCGTTGGTTAGAGACGGGAAGTCGGCCTAAATGAGCATGTCTGGTCCTTCTCAAAGGACAATTTGGGCGAAGGTGTTCGATGCTTCCGCACGTAAACATCTACGGATGTTCGAACGCTGTTTGAATGCTTAAAGCTCAGCTTCTTTGCTCTCTCATCCAGACTGAGGTTTATGGGTTCTTCCTAATTTATGATATGAGCATCTCTCGACGAGTACGATCGAAACCCATGAGTCCCATAATGGGCAGCTTTAAAGTTGAACTCCGCGTTCAACGCTATGCCTACTGCATCCTCAAATGTCAAGGGTGTGCACGAAACGCTTCTGTTCTGGTAACGCCAGTGCGAAGATCCTCTATAAAAATGCTTAACAAAGCCGTCTAAGGTAAAGGGTCGGTCAGGCTGCACAGCAGCAATGAGAGTTCGCAGCTTCTGGACATAATCGGCTAAGTACTTTTTACCCTGGCGGGTTGAAAAGAATTGTGTTCGCACGCAATATGCCTAATTAGGCGGGGCAAACACCCGATATAGCTGCTGTTTAGCATGTACCAGGTGGTAAAAGCCTCTTTTATCGAGTGCCAGAAGTGAAGGCTTAATAATTGGCTAGCCCCCCCTAACTTTGATAGGGCCAGGCCCACCTTTTGCTGCCCTGACCGCAGCAGGGCCGAGCTGATGGCACCCTCTGTCTCTCGAACCCACGAAAGAATATTTAATCGTTCTTTCCGTCTGAAAGTCTAGACACTTGAGACTAGATGGCGATTCTTTGACTCAGTGTTCAGGATTGGAACATACCGAGTGGGCATGGCAGATGCCAAATGATCATGGACTTGTCTGATAAAAGTGGACTCAAAGTTAAAGAAGGCCTCGAGACGTGCACGATGTGCGTCCAGGCCTTGCGCCACTATAAGAGCCACTTGTAAGTTCCCGACCAACGCCGTGATCTTCTCGAGCGTGATATGCTGGGCCTCCGAGAGGTCCATGGCCGTTTCTGTGCTCGCAGAGAATAAAGTCTTTGTAGACTCGAGTGTAGATTGACTACAAGTGTAACCAAGTGTAGCGGGGCTACTTAGCGCTCCTCAGTAAAAAAAGTATTGGACTCAAAGAATCTCTCAGTTATCAGAAAAATAACCCCCACGTACAGTCGTTCAAACGTACAAGCTTAAAAATGCCGCTTCCAAAGAGAATACGTTTCACAGAATCACACACTAAGTAGTTACTACTAGTTAAACAAGAGTAAGCACCTTGACAAGGCTACTGCTCTTAACAAACACTACGCCTTTAAGAGGCACTTGTGTCCAACGATTCAAACGAGGAACTGACCTTTAGTTATTCCATAACAATGGTAATATAACCTTGTATGAATGACTTCTACATTGTGATCCTATGACAGAAGTCTTATCCTTACCCAATAAGGTGCGGTATTATCGGAAGTACGTGGCACCAACTCTGTACCATTCACATCCACTGATCTTAAATTGGTGTGGACACACAACATAACCGGTTCAACAACCGCGGTGTAACTCCGTAACAACGACCCTGTAGTGTTGGAGTGCATGACGATATGGAGCTAGAATTTTTCCTTCTCCGATCGCGATAGCGAAGGTAGGCAAAAGTACTTGATGGACCGTTGGACATAAGATGACGCAGAGATCGACATGACCTTAACAGTGCTGCGCCGTATGGACGCCGGTGGGGTTTTGTTGTTTGACATGAACCAATCCGGGCGCTCCGAAATCTCGAGCCCCTTCATAACGTGACGAAACCCGAAGTACTTGTTCAGATGGTTTGTCGCAGACTCACTCTTTTTGTGATGATTAATAAGATGTCGGCAGTGTTTGCACACCCCTGCATTATGCTTTTGCAGCATCGTAACATCCGCAAAGTATCCCCGTATGATTTTTGACTCCGGCCTGTCTTCCTGATCGGCTGAGTGCTTCATCCACGACTGGGATTTCCACCTCAACGACCAACCATCATCCACTGTCTCACCTGGCCTAGATAAACACGCTCCATCACATCTTAAGTCGAACATGATGCGGTTCATATTTATGAGTGCGGGGCTGACCGAGAGAACTGCGCCACAGACTGTGTTACGGACTGCGCAAGAAATAAAAACCAAAAATAGACAGATATTGAAGGATTTTCAATTCATCCTTTTAGTAATAAAACCTAAAAGCCCGATGCAAAAATCCCAGGGTTGCCTGCCATGGGTTAAATGAGCATAATGCATCTCTTTTATTTCGGTCACGCATTGCTTTCCGAAGAAATCACATTTAGCATTCTATCCTGTCAGATATGTCACCTTCAGGCAACTTTCATCTGCGACCGTACTTAACACCAACCAGTCACCATTGGTGGAAACCGAGCGAGCCAAAGACCGTCTCCGATAATGACGCGCAGCTCCAAGTCGCTCCGCGCGAGCTCAGCTGTGGCTGGTCAACTGCAGACGACGCTCACGCGCTCACTAACGGACTGTGTAGCAGCGACTGTGAGTTCCGTGTGTGCAAGTTTCCAGAATACAGTGGATACGGCGCAGACGAGTGGTAGAAACCCTATCGACGAGAGCAGGGACTACGACCGATACTACGACCATTGCCGCCGTCTCGTGGACTACATTGAGCAGAATATGGAGACGTCGACGGACTTTGCTGCGCATATGGACCGCATCATTCTGGCTTGTCATAGCGACGCTTCGGAGAGCGTGCTGAACGCCTTGGTGACCGAGCCGCTGTGGTTTCATCGACGTGGAGATGCTCTGTCGTTTTCTGTGGAGAAGGAGGAACAGAAGAAGCTGCAGAGAAAGAAGGATGGTGCCGACAGTTACCATAGGAGAAGTAGCAGTAGTCGTGGAAGCACTAGCTCGGCCAGGTTGACGACGGAGAAGAAGAAGAAGGAAAATCGATCTCGACCTTCTGTTCAGTCTTTGGCCAAGGTGGCGATTAAATTATCAACTCGCTCCTCTTCGATGCATGGAAGGAGTGGTGCGAGTAGCAGGAAGGCAACAAGAGTGAGTGAAGATGACACACGGCCGTTCAAGAAACTGCGACGCGCGACAAGGTCGATGGTACATGACAAGCCAGCTGATAAAGAGATAAAACGTGAACACCGACCGAAAGAGAGAAAGGAGGTGCAAGAGCCGGAGGATGCTGTGTTGTCGTTTGAAGATGCGATAGGCGACTTGTGCTACCCGGATCGCCGCACATCGACACAAACGAAGTTCTTCAAAGATCGGCTGCGCAAGTCAATTCGATTCGTAGATGCGCTGTTATGCAATCCTCCGCGCGGCAAAGTGTGTCAGCGTGGATGCAAGAAGATTCGCGCTCAGATGTGTAGCAGCTCTACACCGTGCAAGAACGAGATGTGCCGCATCTGGCACGATGTTGAGGCACACACAGATTGCTGCCTGAACGCACGATGCGAGTTCAAAACGAGGGTTTTGCTGCGCGAGACGATGCACAAGATGGAGGTGATCAAGCAGCGGAGAGTTGCAATCCAGACGAAGTTGTGCAAGAAGCACGCTGAGCTTAAGGAAGTTGCTGATGATGATAAGGAATCGTTTGAAATCGACATTGCTAGCTTGGAGCAGGACCTTGGAGATTGTGATGGTGAAATGGGTGTGCAGGAGGCGGCCAAAAGAACATTTTGGAGAATTTTGAACGAAATTGGAATTGATGCGAGGGATGACGTGGTCGACAGTTTTCCAGACTTTGATACGCATTATGGAGACAACAAAGGCTTACGTAAAGCACGAAAGGTTGCTTGTACTACCGCTCGCCGTTCGTCTGGGTCCAGCCGAAACTTGGGCGTTGCTACTCTACATGCCTACGCTGGTCATCATGGCAGTGATGACAAGGATGTTGAAGAAGTGGGCAATGATAATAGCGAGAGTGTGGGTGGCAATATGCACCGGAGCACACCACACAGGAACACACCAATTGGACGTGCAGCCCTCCGTAAAAGTAGCAAAAGAAGGAAAGGGACGGTGACAAGCGGAGTCAAAATATTGAACGACAGGTGTGAGGAGCTGCTCTCTCGTAGCTCGGGGAAACCGTCTCAGCATGATGAACCGCCGCTACCACCAGCTGGCCCTCCACCCTTCCGGCAAAACCCTGAATTGGATCGGGAATACGCTGCTAGCGTTTTGGGCTACTCTTTCCAGCTACCGGTCGATGATCGTGAGGCCGTAGCCGTTACTGCTCACGTTGAACTGACTGAGGTGATTGAGCCTTTATCGCCTATCGGCGAAAGTGAAGTGCAGATGATTGATACGCAGCGAGGTGGTGAAAACAGCTTTGGGATGATGACAAGTGTGAGTTCTAGCATGCTTCTTGAAGAGCCACTTGATGCGGTGGATATAAGTCATCTACATCCATCTCTTAGCGAGCCACTCACTACACTAGGCATACGGGTGAAATCGCCGCCTGCAGAACCACCCGCTACAGTTGGCATGGAGTGCACTTCTCCTCCTGCTGAATTCAGCACCGCGGGGTTTACCGCTCTCGACAGTGGGCCGCAAGGTCTGTGAGAGGCGGGTCCTTGCGAAAGCGTGTCGAGGCTAGTACTAGCTAAGGCAAGTCTGACATTTATATTTAGTTTAGCGATGGAAACGGTCAGGACAATGAACGAGGTTGGTGGGATTCATTGAAACATGGGAAAGTCAAGTCTCGATTTATCGCGTCTGTTCGGTTGATGTCTCTTATTTATCTTGCTTCTGCGAAGACGTTCGCATGTCGACACCAAGCAAGGCGATGCACCCGAGTCGGCAGTACATGCCCTATGTTGAGGCACACGAAGATTTCAACGAAAATGATGTTGTGTAATCATTTGATTACCATCACAATCCAAGATATTTACATTAAAAGCTTACCTGTCCTAGCCGGGTTTCTAAGGCTGCACCGTATGACTGAGGGTTACTTCCCGTTGTCAGTCGCACATGTTGTCGAAATGTGGCGACTCCAAAGGCTGTGTTGCACCCGAATGGGACCAAATTGAGCCACACCAGATTTAACGAGTGTTATGCAGCAGCATACGACTTCATCGTACTAAGTATCAACGGGGCTTCTCCAGGCATACCATGCGTGGCAAACAAATCACCACGTGGAATTTTTGTTTGGAATGGAATTGTTTCAAAGATGCACAGTCTCGACCCGTGAATCCGATCTCTTTGACACGCGTTTAGTAAGTCATCTGCAGAGCGCTGCAGTTGTCAGGGCACCCGTAGCTTATGATGCTAATGTGAATACATCGAAAGCCTGTTTCCACGGGTCCTTATCGCATGATGTTTCGAATTCTCGGAAGTAAGTTCCCCACAAGCAAAGGTTGACGTGGCAGGCAACCAACAACAAAAACTCCAGTCTGTACAAGAGAGCACCATACACATGCTACTGCACACCGAAGCCAACATAGCGAGCCATTGACGGGCTTAGCAACGGGTATAAGCCTTGACGAAAGAATTTGCAATGCGCTAGAGCATGCTGCAGCCCCTGCAGCTGCCACGCATAATGCCGGGTGCGAGTGAAACTCATGACACGGGCATGCGATCCTATATTCTCTATACTTCCGCTAGACATAAAATAATGGATCGTTCGTCGAGCGAGTGGTAGTCTATAGAGTAGGCTCGTACCGCGTTCAACAGTAAACATCATGTACCATTTGACCTCGGATGCTAGTATGTGATGGAGCAGATTTCTACGATATCGACCGTCTCGGTCGCTTCTTATAAGTATGTGGAGAAGAGATTACTAGGATAGGCAAAGATCTGTGAGTCGTTGAGAATATGAGCTCACATTGATTTAGATCTGTAAAGAAAAGCACCTCCATCACCGCAATATCCTCAAATGCCAGTTACAATGTTGTTGAACTCCATTCGTGACTACCACAATTTGGATGACCCAGAAGTCTCAGTACTGGCTTGACGGTGAAAATGATGTTGGCTTTCGCAACTAGACCCACACTATTCTCTACGTATCGTAGTTAAGCCCCGCCTCCTCATCACATATAGCTCTTTCTCGCCTGTCGTCGCTTCGGCACCCGCGTGGTCCAGTCGGGTGGCTGTGCGAGTGGCCCGTATGCTGTTGTTCACAAGCTGTGGCCTGGGTTGCAACCCTTTTGAGCACGTAAACGACGATGGTCAATAAAGAGTCAACCAGTGGAACGTACGTAGGAAAAGGTTAGTCGACAGGTATCGCTAGTGTTGTAACCTGTCGACCTGGTCGATCGTGATCGTGCATCTACAATTGATTGTCTTATTGCTTCCATGGGCTACGCCTTCTGGATCAACCTCCTGTGCTGGGCCAATTATTTGTGCACTCAATCTGTTTGACTTGGGCAACGGAACCACATTGTATTGTGCCTCGCTCTTTTGATATCGTCACTTATCCATGGAGGCACTGATTGTGTCGATAAGATCTCGTACGCGTATCGGCTGAAAGGGTCAAAGCTGGCATTTGGTGAGGAAGTGTACGATGTGCACACGCAACCGACGAGTTGGCTATTCTCGTCAAAAGACTCAAGTGGAAATTATGTGAAGTCGATGATGCCCCCGTGCAACGCATTAGCGTAAAGGTAAATTACGGCTCTCTGTTGAAAAAGGTCGGTCACATCATGCTTTCGTGCAAATAAAAGCGAGGGTAGTGGCGTGCTGTTCGTAGATGCTGTGAGCCATTCGAATGAACTTATCCGTACCCCACTTCAAGCGCACACTGACAAAGTCGGCGGGGATCAAGCTCTTGCTCTCGAGTTGGAGATAAACGTGATGTCACCATTTTGATCTTGAAGCGGTTGTGCGTGACATTTGAGGATATTTCACCTGTAACCATGTATCTCTGATTGAGCTGAGTGCAATAGTTGCGAAGCCGAAATGCATATCCAAACAATTGGAATAGTATTGAAGTCTTTTTTATCATCGACATGGGAACGACCATTGCCAACCCTTTCCGGAATCGGTGCAAAGTGCCAGCATATCTGCAGTCTAGGTCTTCAAAGCAAGTGACGAAGGATCTATACGAGAACACGATGAGAATTAGTGGTAAATGAGTAGAAACAGCGTTGATTAATTGCAGTTGTCAAACGGTGGAACGACAAAAAGCGAGTTACACAACGTCCTCACGAAAAGCACATGGACATCGCAAGGAATTGGGGCAACAAACTCGAGACCCGAATTCGTTCTTGCTCTTGATTTTGGCTACTGCGTAGCACGTTCAACGCCTGCTTACTTACTCTTCCAATTTATCTAAAGTGCTACTCGACCTGATAGAGAGAAGACGCTGGTATCCTGTAGATGCTACAGATGGCGTTGAAATGAGCAACAATTCGCCAGGCTGCTTGGAACCTTCTGCTATGACTAAGCTGTTGAATGGAAATGTCGCTTCTGCAACGGGACGTCAGCACTAAGCGACGAAAATCAGCTAGTTACGCGCTACAAGTGATGGTGTAGGAAGTTCCGAAAACATGAGAACAGATTTATCTAACGACCGATGGAGCAGCAAAGCAATTTTGACAGCAAATAGATCCTGGGCGCATGCTTCCGCGATGTTGTAGATATGCGTTGTAATGTCTACTGCCCGGTGAACGGGGTGTTGACCGACTCATCGTAAACTGGCGCAAAGACTCTGGTTCTTTTGGTTCATTCTTAAACAGAGAACAATAAGAACCAGAGTCTTTGTGCCAGTCGCGACCGTCGGTTCGTGCATCAAGAGAACACTCTCTCGTTTGTTTGCGCATTATTGCGGCATGGACTGACATTTTTGATAAAGGGTATTTCACATCAATGCCTTGGCAGGCCCAATTACTGTAATTTCTACGCAGAGCCGTTCTAAACACATCATCTTGGTACCGAAATCATCTATCGGCTAAAGTAGGTTGTCAGTCAAGCCAGCTCCGCCGCGCGAAGTGCAAGACGTGCAGTTTGGCTAGGTTCAGTTAAGACAATAGATTTGTTAGCAGGCTCTACTGTATCATGCAAACACAGTATATTCAGACGCGGGTAAACAATGTGCAGATAAAATCGACTCCTGCAGTTGCCTTTTATTAGCTGCATGGATCAAAGCAGAAAAAGACTAGGACTATAAAGGTCTGAATCGACTGAGCGAGCACGGACATGCACTTCCCTACCATCCTATTGCTGTGGAAATGACTTTTCAATGAATCGCACACCTTCGACTTCGAGCCGAGCGAGAGCTGGGACATATATGTCAGGGGTCGTCGGTGTGAGCACACCGCGACCTTGAACTGCGTCTTGCAAGATCAGCTGTACACCTATCGCGGCACTCAAGCCGACAGTTTTGGCCATGATCGTGTCGCCCTTCTCGGAGCCGTACCCCACAAACGTCGATGTACGCCTTTCCATTTCATCGTTTTCGTATTTGATGCCGAACTCGTGGTGCATTATGGCCATATCGCGTTCTCCGGGTTGGTATGACAACTTGTCCTGCAACAGCGCACAGAACGCATCAAGAACTGAAGGCGCTTTTACCACAGGTGTCGCTTGATCGCATGCACCAAGCCACTTTAGAAACTCTTGGGCGTCATTACGAAGTTCTTGAACTCCGCCTAGCTGCGTCAGCAATTCAGGCCAGGTAGCTGGAATGGGTTTCGTCGAATCCATGTCAAATAGTCCAAGCTTGCGTAGTTGGTACAAAATTTGGCAGCAACCGCCGTAGCGTAAGGTACCTCGATACAATGAGTGTGCGTCCGAGATACCGTAAACGTCGCCGTACGGAAGCGAGTCGCGGTTCGGGATCTGCTCAATGTTGAACGCAGGCAAGAAGTTCACGCGCTCGCTACTGTTAAGCAAATCTTCGCCGACCACGTTAATGACTTTCCTGTCTTTGCGGTACTGAGCTGCATTCAGTGCCGCTGTCAACACGCCACGGGGGCTCCAGCTAAACTTGTAACCAATGGCGTTGTCCGCTGCTTCAGGAGCTGGCAGTCCGCCACACACGGACGAAAACGACACGATCCTGCCCGAACGCGCCTTCACTTCGTCGATGACTTTCATTGCACTCATGTGGTCCATGCCAGGGTCGAGGCCAATTTCACAAAGAATAGGAATACCAGCCTTCTTTGCCTTAGTGTCCAGCTCCTTCATTTCGGGCGATATATAACTAGCGGTCACGAGAGGTATTGCGTGGTGAATACAGTGCTGGGCAATGTTCGTATGCATAGTCGCCGGCAACAGTGACACGACGCAATTGGCTTCAGCACAAAGCATGTCAACTCTAACGGCATCTTCTGCCACATTTACGACATGAGGCTTGATATTCCGGCGGGTGATTTTACGCATCATTTCCATCACTTCACTCTCGACGCCCGATACCACATGCACCTCGTTCCCTTCCTCACGCGATAAATACTCGACAAGCGGCGAAGCTACCAATCCAGCACCAAAGCACACTACCATACGTTTCTTCGTCAGGCTTGAGACCGAAACGTCAGTTGTCGTGTTCGTAGCTGAATCTTTTCTTACGATCGCACCACGTGTTTTCGAAAAATCTGTTCCACACAAGTCAGGCAGCTCAGTGACGGTGGCGTTTGATCCTGAGGTGAGCTCAGCAAGGGCGCGAATCATCTTGATAATTTTCTCCAGATCGTCACGGTCTGCCATGCTAACCTGAATGATGGCGTTCGAGACGGCGACGTCATGGATGTCGCCAGCTCCAACATTTGGATGTACATCACAGTCCACAAGGTAGAATCCACCGTCATGGTCCTCAATGAGGTTGAGAACCTGGTTGATAAGCCCGGTGTCAAAAAGATGTCCTTCAAGCAAGACACATGTGCTACCGGCACTCTCTTGTTGCGCATCCAAGAACCTAAATTGCTTGCTTCGCTCACGTTCGGCGCGCATGCGGTGGATGTACTCGTATCTGGGAGTCAGCACACCGTTGCTGGCAATGCAAGCGCCGCGCAACTCAGCTGGCAGTTCCTTGTGTTCATACAGCGGAACATCAGACGAGGAAATACTCGACAGAGTGTTAGCATATTTCAACAAGGAATCACCAAATTGCTGACTAGATTCACGCGCCAGCTCGCTCGGCAAAATGTCGACCCCCATCATCATGATTCCATTGTCTCCTCCAAGCCCGCGAAAGTCTCCATCGTCACTCATTTTGTCTTCTGCGACATCGTACAGGGCAAAAGGTCGCTCAATCTCCGTGGCGCGCTCCAAGAACTCGACGCTGCCGCCAATGTCGCACGATATGTCGGCAATGCCGAGCAGCTTCTGGTTCCCAGCACTCCGAAGTTTACGGATCTGTTCCCGAGTGATCAAGCGCGGAAAACGATCATCCCAGTACATGCAGTTAACCAGCATAGAAGTGTACGGTAGAACTTTCTCATGAAAAGCTGCTTCGTACTGATGCGGGTGCTGGTAATAGTGTGCGCGCAAAGGCGTTCTAGGATCTTCCGATCGGGACTTCACTAGAAAGGCAGGGTCATCAATGACCGTGCCGTATAAAACACGATTGTTCATCGGCAAATTAGGTAGCTCCGATGGGTGCACCATCTCATGGGGCATGAGTTTAAAAATCTCTTGCGCTCCTTTGGAAACTTTGCCGTTGCCAGTAAAAGCGAACGTCATGGGTGCCAGCTCTTTCGGCAGTCCATCTTTCAGAATTCTCCTGCCTGCAGCTTCAACCGCTTCTTTCGCATGCTCCAAATCTGCATACATGTAAGCAGATGCGACATTAACAAAAGGCGAGGAGATGCCCATATTGATGAGGCGTTCTCCAAGGCCTCGGAAGCCTGCAATCATTCCAGCTCGACCGGCATTGGCTCCAAATGCAATCAGCCGCTTGCCACTCGCCTCTGTAATGCACTCGTAGTCGATGAGAGTGATGCGACGGTGCAGCACCGCGTCCAGTAGTGCCATGTTCTCAGGCTGGGCTTTGATTGTATGACTGAAGAAAAGGTACGTCTTGTCTGCCAAGAGCGCTGGCTCCGGCACCTGCTTCACGCCAACAATCACGTTGGCCGCTGTCAGATCGTCCGATACAGTTGCACCAGCACGCAAGTACTGCTCATCTGAGAACACGCGCACAGTGGACGGCTGCACGAGTACGCGCACGCCCTGCTGCACTAACTCTTTCACGTGCATGGGCGTGAGTGGCACGCGGCGCTCCCATTTGTTGTACGTCTCACGGACGATCCCGACACACTTGCCGGTCATCTTGTTGCTGACCCTGTTGACTCCAGTCGGTCCTTCAGGTCAAATTGACAAATGACGACTCAAGTGCTGACGTTGAAGATGACATGAAATGGGTACAAACGACGCTTCGAGTGAATGTTTGACAGACTCGTGGTTGAACTTGGTGGCGAGTTGCTTGAAGGTATTGCGAGCGTCGCCGCACGACGTTGCTGATTGGTGGGTTTAACAATAGCAGGAATGGCACGAGGATTGGACTGTCAAGACTGAAGGGGTTGTTGCTGTGCTTTACATTGATGGCACGATCGATGTCCGTTGAGACAGCTGCGCGGCCCCGGTACTTTACCTTCGGGAATTTCTATCGGAGACAGAAGTCGCTTCTTTCTTTGATTGGGCACATACTGAGCAGGTGATGAAGGTCGAGCAGTACCTGGACTTCTTGGGCCAACAGCCTGATACTGCACACTTTACGGCCTCGTCCAAGGCGTCTGTCAGCTTCGCGAAGCTTAACGAAACTGCTGTGACAAGTATCACCATCGACACGGATGGACTTGTGGATGGTACCTCCGGTCCAAAGGCGTCAGCACTGGTACAGCAACTGCTGGAAGGACGGACTCGCAGCGGGTTCGGCGCTTTCGGCACAGAAGTGGGATTCTTGCCACAAAAAAGACTGAGTTTGGCTGTCGCCAACGTTGTCAAAGAGATCGGCCATACGTACGTCATGGAACACAATAAGCGTGGTAATGTAGTCTTAAACAGTCGTAGCTTCTTCTTCTACTGGTGCCACGCGGAAAAACAGAAGCTCATGGATGTTCGAGAGAAGCTGGTAGCAAGGGACATTTCGATACAAATGAGGTGCCTCTTCTGGCAACAGCTCGTAATTGTCGTGGATAGAGCCATGTGCGATGACTGCATTCAATTCGCAACGTGCTTTGCACGTTTTGAGAAGTCGTTTATCTGCATACAAGACCCAGCTGTAACGCGGAGTTTTCCTCCTTCTAGCACTCAACAAGTCCGTGTCAGTGACACTTGACCACCAGATGCAAGCGAGTTACCACATTCTTGGATCAAGGGGTAGTGCACATGCACAGTTGCGCTTGAGACAAAACATTCATTGACTGGACGCGTGTGTGCATATTTACTGATGCATTACTAAGATAATCTATAGAATTTCTGGCTGAGACTTTCAGACGTTTTTTATCAAACTTGCCATGAGCAAAGTCTTTTGTAATGCAAGCGCGGCTAACGTGGTTGCACGAGTATAATACACTTCCGATGCAAGCTTGATCGTACATGTCATAGTCGCGATATAAACGATCGGGAGTCGTTTTCTTCTTCGCTCGTGCTGAAACATTCGATTGAAGATAGTCAAAGCATATCAAACGGTCCTCTGCCAGCTTACCGTTAGCCAACGTACGCGGTCCAGCGATGAGATTCATTGCAAGCCCGAAGGGTGAAGCTTATAGTGAGTGAGCGCAAGGATGAATGCCGAGCTTCCAATCGTATTCATCTATCTGTGTGTGTCAGTTTGTCGATCTGTAAATAACGCGGTTACGTGTAGCAACACGTATCAAGTGTGATCTAGCCTGTCCCCATACATAGGTCGATTCGCATGATAGGTGTCACTATATGGCTAGGTCACTATTGTGAAGCACACACGTGATTGGCTAAAAAATCGATCAAAGTGAACATTATCACATTAGCAAATGCGTTCGCTCATAAGCAAAGGCTTATCGCGTTGCCCAAGTATACTGTACTGTGTTAACACATGCACAAACAGCATCATGCTCATTCTTCAGTGTCTGTCGTTGTATGGTCTTTTTCAGGTTGATTCAGTTTTATAAACTGAATTATTCAAGTTGGCAGTACACGCTAATTAGGATAAAGAATGATAAGATTCCGAATTAAGATGACTTATCGTACGTGAGTTACTCGTTCACCTTACCCTCTCTGCTCCAGCCGTTTTGATTTGGATGGTCGTTAGAACTAATCGCTTCCATTCACTATGCATGCAGCAAATGTTTTTTGGCGCTAGTTGCAGCTTCAACTTTAATAATCCTTTATTTCCAACAACTTGTATCAACGGGCGAGACTCATAGCTTGCTCCCCAATCTTATATGAAGGGGGTTTATGGATTCATCCTTTTTTTCTTAAATTCACACCCTTCCTGTTAAATCCTATAATTGCGCCTCAATATCGAATAAAGTTTATTTAAGTTTAAATTATAAAACATAAATTGTTGCTCACCACGCAAGTGACGATAGATGTTGTAATCATAATATTTATATACAAAAAGTGTAATTCAAACAAGTGTCATTCATTTAGCCAATTAAGTTCAAAGCGTCTAGTTTTAATAACAAATTACAACGGTTTCGATTCTTAGATACATGCTGCTGCTTTGTCGACTGGACATTCTCACTTCAGAGGATATCTGGGGCAGATGAAAGACGACAGCATACATTATTGCTGTTGCATCTAAAGATCTGCCTGTATGTTCAATAGCACACGCTTTTTTCGATGGTTCACGTTTACCCAAAACTTGAACGTGAAACCTTGGAAAAAATACGCGATGGAATTGTTAGCCAAAACGCTCACCTCAGCCTTTTTTTAAATATTTTTTATAATTGACATGAAAGAGATCTCGTTTGTGCTTCTTTTTCGTTCCCCAACTCTCCAGAGATGCTTAAGCTGAGCATTACAATTCGGCGTGATGAGTGCAGCAACGACTTTGCAACTTTTTTGTGCATCCGAATCGTAAATCACGATGACTTTTAAATTTCCAGACTTTCTGTGATGGTACAGAAGAAAAAGTGATGAACAGCACAAGAGGTTGAGGGGGTAGACACAACAGTTGTGGCTCAGGAATACTTCTTTTATATAATATAGAAGCATAAAAAACTCTAACATAATTGAAGATGATATGCACTACATGTATCAGTATACTGCACGGCGATGACCTCGATAATAATATGTTTACCTTCTCATGGCCTTCATTTTAATATTATACGAGCAGGCAATCATACACTCCCGCATTGTTCCATTTACTTTATAATATCGTCTATTACAAGGTCCATCTCACACAGACTCTTGTGGCACACTCCCATCAGGGGAAATACAAAATCGGAGAAAGGTGTAGATTGCGGACACAGAATATATTACAGAGCTCTTTCGATTGTTTACGCAGAGAAACGATTAGAAGGAAACGGGTAATAAATGGTTTGGCAAAAGAATACGCGTACGAGGTTTGACACGAATGGTGCGAACATTACGTTTGGCAGAGGGGGGGGGGGTTGATTTGAAGGAAAAGGGGTGTGATTATATCAGCTCCATGCATGAAGAAGAATTCTACTATAACTCATAACAATGGAGGGAGGCTTTCAGCATCCACCCCTTATCGCAATAAATATCAACCCCCTCACACGTACTGTGCTCTTAATGATCAACAAAAATAATACTAAAAAAACAATCTATGATTGGTCAGATAAGGAATGAAAACGAACACTCTCCCACCAACAGCAGCAGATACATACAAATACTCACCTCCCTCTTACAACTATTACTTTCCCCACAACTCCTTTAAAATTAACGCTTTTACACCCTCCCATGACACTGGTACATTATTCTCTTGCTGATCGTCAAGCTAATTTTATATACCCATGCAACGGCAGAGGGGTATGTTATTGTTTTGTAGCGTACGAAGAGGCTTCGAGGAGAAAGGAAGGTGACTGTAAGGTAGTATACTTCCAGAGTCAGTTAGTAGCTACGTTTGCAACCAGTGATCATGGTGCCCTAGGTCATACGGACGGATGAACATGTCATGGATACATTATAGTAACTCGCTCTTACCAGTACTGCAAGATTATCGAAGCGTGATATTGCTATGGTGTGGTACAATTTCGAGACATGATGCTTTTGTCACAAACATTTCCTGATCAAAGGAGCCACAGCTCAAACACCTTTATCGAAAAGAGTGCGAGCTGCAACACAGCACCTGTGTGATGGCGTACCACCTCACATTGAGCCTTCAGCACAGTTCAGAAGTGGCGAGCGTCTGGACTCTACAATAGTAGTGCACCTTTTGAAGCAGAATAGGTATCAGCAGTAACGATGACTATACTTAGGAAGGTGTGTGTGTCAAGAGAGAACTCCAGTAAAAGCAAAGGGAAAAATGGAAACATGCCTGGTAGCAATACGGAAGCACGTTCGGCAACGTAAATTCAGCATGATGATGTCAAATCCATTTCATTTATACATGAAGTTGAGCTTGCACATACAAGCCAAACGGATCGCGCGCTACCTGAAAGGTACGCGCGAAATCAAACTGCGCTTGAAGCCAACGAAGATCTCGATTGGGGAACTGCAGCTTGAGTCGTACTCGGACGCCGAATTCGCCGCTAACAAGTCGGACAGGAAGTCCTTGACCGGTGGGATCGCTCGCCTGAACGGGATGCCGGTGAGCTGGACGGCGAAGAAACAAGGTGTAACGGGGCACCCTGAAGCTTGTACTGGTGACAGTACAAGCTACTTATTCTGATGACAGAATAAGGCGGTGCCTCATAACTTCACGTACACTGGTACGTGCAGAGGAAGACGGTAAGAAGAAGCGAGTACTTGGTTAGAGTAAAAAGTAGAACTGTATTTATAATAGTTAATGTCTGCAATAAATCACTATTTATCTTCATCTAACTATGTCTAAATACAAATGTGTAAATCAGTTATCTGCTCACCACTCATTGCGTGCGTCTGTCGTGGCGCGTCTTCGTTGGTTGATATAATGGCCTATATCAACCAATTAGGAACTACTTGGAAGTGCTACAGAATATTGTCCTTATGACAATATTCTGAGAATATAACTCTTATAGTTATATTCTATTAACAATTTCTTATAAATTGTTATGTAACGATTCACCCCGTTACATCACCCCCCTTAACCATTAGTCACTTTAGTGACTGATTGACTAAATGGATACTCGTCCCAAATCATTTGGGACGGGGTTTGCACTTGTTGGTCCGCGTCCACTTTCCAACATCTCATCGCATGGTAAACAAGCCCATGCGATGCGCGAGCAAGGCCGCCGAGAGCGCGTCTGCACGTCTCTGTGCGGACGCCGAAGCAGAAACTACAGCAACTGATGTCCCATCGGTTGCTGAATCGACTCAGCCTGTATCACCTGGTGATGCAGGCGCTGGTCATGAAGACACTCGTGTCTTCACAGAGTACGAGCTCGGTGTCTCGTACTCTCCTGATACGGATGACGGATCCGTATCGACGGCAATTGAATCCAAGCCGCCTGCCAAGCGTGGCATGGACGATGCTTTGCGTCGCAGCATCTTTGGTTCATCTGATGAATCAGATGAACCATCGCCGAAGCGAAGGCGCTCGAGGTCGCGAGACTCGGGCGCTAATAGTGGTGTCGGTTCTCCAATTGACACCACTTCACAGCGAGGTGCCAGTACTTCTGTCGGCACATCGCAGGAAGAGCGGGACCGCAATGTGTTGCGTCTCGCTCCTGAGAAGAAGGCATGGATGCCTCCAAAATCCGTCATGGATCACTTGTCGGCGACGACGAGTGATCGTTATCGAACACGATTGTTCGATTCGTCAAGGATCCATCACCTTGACCCCAGCGCGAAAAACTATCGCGCTGAGAATGAATTCTTCATCGATGCTTTCTTTAGACATTGATGGTACAGTGGGAATCACAAGCGTGATGGTCCCTCACTGCTTCAGGCGTGGAACGCCTACATCCATAATCTTGAGGATGTAGGTCGTGACGCTTGGAACGACAAACTTATCAAAGCTCGTGATAAGTTTGAAAAGCGAACCCCGACAGATGCACGCTACAAGCTGCATCGTCTGTCAAGGGAGAAAGGATTACCCTGCCTCTCTTGGGGAGACTCGTGCCCATGTTGTGTGAACAACTCTGCACGAGCACCTAAGGAGGCTTACCTCCCTAATAGCCCGTGGTGGCGCGTACGTATCTCTAGTGAGATGTACGAAGGGATTGACAACTTGAAATCCCTTTACGACCGTGCCGGGAAGACTTTCTCCGGCGGTCCATCTGCGGCACAGGATGTGCCGCGTCGTACTGCTCAACCAGACCCAGTACGTCGATCATCAGTTGGGAGCGGGGCTCCCAAGAATCCCAGGACGGGGGATAGCCGCGCCACCGGACGAGATAACTCGTCCGACGTCCGTTCACGTCGCGGTGGTTCAACAGCTGCTCAACTAGATAGCGCTGGCCACCGCGAGAGTCCTCTAATGGAGGTGGAGGAGGAGGAAAGACGCTCTCCACACGATCATGTGGATCGGTGTGTTCCCGAGAGCTTCTTTGATCGCGTAACGCAAGGGTTACGCGACGATCTCGAGCATGAGCAGAATAGGCGTCTCCAAATGGCGGACACTGCCTCGAAGCATCGAGCTGAGTTTGCCTTTGCTCAGCTTGAGAACGAGAGATCTCTGACATCTCTTCGTGACGAGCTAAGGGTAGCTCGTGGGATTGCTGATCGGTCTCGGGATGAGATAGCTGCTCTTCAGACCCTTGTTGATGCCCACCATCGGGAGCACAAGGCTCCCTGCGAGATGCTTGAGCGCAAGGGCGTTCTTCATCGGAAGAAGCAGCGTACTGATGGTACGGCTTAAGCCGACCAACGTAAAACGTGGGATGCGTTCGCATCTTACGTGGTAACTCGATCGTGTATGCATTGCCTAGGCGGTGCAATACCCGAAATGGGCCGATGTACTTGGGTAGTAGTTTACTGCTACCCAAGTTAGTCACTACATGCTTTGGTAGATTAACCGTAGACAGTAGGACTAAGTCACCTTTATTGAATAATATAGTGTTTGCCCTTCCATTCTTGTCAGCGTTTTGCTTTTGCTTATCCACCGCTTCGGCGATGGAGTCTTGCACAAAACGGACTACCGTTTCACGAGCCAGTATGAACTCATCTGATTACTCGTTAGCTTCAGTGTGCTGTGAGCGCACTGCAGCAACATCAACCTTTTCTTCAGTGAGGGCTTCCGCACTCTCACTGGCATCATCTTCTTCGATATCGATGTTATCGATATCGGCATCAAACGCAATGACTTCTTCGTCAGAGCGTGATGAGCGTGAACCAATTCGGTTTTCGCTCGCGCGAGTCCCTCCCCCCCTTAAACCAGAGTTACACTCTAGTAAGGTGGGTACACGCGGATGGCGCAAGCCATTCACGTAAAACGGTGTATGTGCCGTGGACGCATGCACCGAGTTGTTAATGGCAAACTCTACCATTGGCAAAAACTCACTCCAACTCTTAAAGGAGTGTACGTATCCTCGAAGTATCTCTTCAAGGACACGATTGGCACGTTCCGTCTGACCATCTGACTCTGGATGATCAGATATCGACATCTTCAAGCGCGTTCCGAGTGATTTGAACACGGAACGCCAGAAATCAGCAGTGAATCGTGGATCTCTGTCTGATACGAGTTCACGGGGCAACCCATGAAGTCGGAAGATGGTGTCAATAAAGACACAAGCACAGCCACTTGCCGTGATTGTCTCTGGTACAGCCACAAGGTGTACCATTTTGCTGAATCTGTCAACAAATACGAGAATACCCGTATTCCCGCGTGCGTCTTTGGGTAACCCGAAGACAAAATCCATTGAGATGGATTCCCAGCACTCTGCAGGAACTGGTAGAGGCTGTAAAGGTGCACGCAGTGAAGGACTGGACTTCACTCGTTGACAGACTTTGCATGCGCGAACACACTTTCGCACAAACTGATACTGACGGGGCCAGTAAAAGTCTCGACTCACCGTGAGATATGTTTTCTCACGGCCACGATTTCCTCCTATAGGAGCATCGTGATACTCGAACATGATCCGCAAACGCAGATCAGTATCATCTGGAATGACAACACGTGGTGTGTCACCAGAAACGGCTGTATAATAGAGTAAGCCGTTGCGAGGAGTGTATCGATCTGATGCAGATTGATACGCAGACGATAATCGTTTCAACGATTTTCGAGAAGGCTGTGAGAGATGTGTCAACAACTTCACCATCTCACCATCTTGGGCATATGCCCGCCTCACATCATCATACAACGTTGTAGATGGGACTGAGGACGTCATCACCGCAACAGTGACTGCCTCACTGTTGGGTTTCACGACTGATTCAAAGTCGGGACGACGTGAGAGTGCATCAGCGACAACATTAAGTCGTCCTGGTTTGTACTCAACCGTAAAGTTGTATTCCGCAAAGAATGACAACCACCGCGCCATTCGTTGTGAAAGGTGCGGGCTGTTCACTGCCGTGCGTAATGACGCATGGTCAGTGTAAACAACGAAGGGTCTATCTCCTAATAGATAGACTCTGAACTTCGCGAGTGCATACTTCATGGCAAGGAGTTCCTTGTCATGCACTGGATAGTTCCGCTCAGCTGGTTGCAGCTGACGCGACTGATAGCAGACGACGCGTTCAACGCCTTCAAGATCGTACTGCATTAATGCACAGCCGATTGCGAAATCGCTGGCATCACAGACCACATGAAATGGCATGTCCTGATCGGCTATTGCTAGGACTGGGGATTGTATCAAGCTCTGCTTGATACCCTCAAAGGAGCGTTGACATTCAGCGTTCCATAACCACCTCTCGTTCTTTTTCAACAAACGAGAGAGGTGCACAGTCATCTCGGCGTAATTGCGTGAATACTTATGCAAATACGCCGCTAGCCCAAGGAATTTTCGAAGACCTTTGACATCAACCGGCACAGGCCAGTCGGTGATCGCCTTGATCTTTTCGGGATCAGGACGTACACCGTTCTTACCAACGATGCACCCAAGAAGTGGTATTTTGCTTGCGGCAAATATACACTTCTTGAGGTTTGCATACAATTGATGCTTTCGCATGATTGTAAGAACCTGTCGGACGTGGTACCTGTGAACCTCAACGTCCGACTTTCCATCCATAGCTCGACTATGGATGAATACGTCATCGAAATAACTCGGCGCGAATTCTCGTACTGGTCTCAACAGATGTGATACACATCTGTTGAACGTGGCAGGGGCATTACTGAGTCCTTGTGGCACTACTAGCCATTCCCAGAGCATGCCGCTAGGCGTGCTAACTGCGGTATAGGGTATATCCCGTTCCCGCATAAGGATTTGATAGAAACCATCCATCAAATTCATGGACGAAAAGATGGTACTCTTTGACATACCATCAATGATTACGTCCTTCCTCGGTATCGGCGTCTGAGCCGGTACCGTTGCAGCGTTCAATTTGTTGAACGCGTGCACTATCCGCCACCCTCCTGTTGCTTTTCGCACACAGAAGGTCGGAGAGCTATGTGGGGAAGTTGATTCCCTCACATGGCCCGCAGCTAAACGATCGGCAAAGAACTTGTCGATCGCAAGTACTTGTTCACGAGGCAGTGGCCACTGCTTCATGACACAGTACTTCGAGCCTGGTTTAAGCTCGACCTCGTGTCGAATGCCTTTATCCTTCGGTAATTCGCACGGAACAGTTTCAGGGAATACATCCTTGAATTCAACCAAATCTTCATAGAGAGGATTTGTCTTGAGCGATTCCCACGATTGGGAGTCATATCGCTCAACTCGTGTCTTTTCATCTAGGACACTCTCGTCCATCGATGAACTACTGAGATCTCTCTCGTTCTCAGTAAACACTGTTGCTGACCTTATGTCGGCTACACACTCGTCGTCAGCGACGAGTACGCAGATCTGCTTGACTTTGCCACTACGCAGATCACGCAAGAACCTTTTATGTTCGAGCGTTGGCAACTGAGTGATCTCCGAGGTCAACTTCGGAGGCGCAATCAGATCAAGTGTACAAGCGCCTACACTTGATCCATCATTGACTATGACATTCAATGTCTCTGTCATTTTCTGGGGACTTATTCCCTCAGGCCTCGAAAGACTTATTCCTTCGGCTTCCCGGGGACTTCTTCCCTCGGTTTTCGGGGAACTTATTTCGGCCGTATTTGTAATCTTGGGACTTATTCCCTTAACTTCCTCTAGCTGGGGTTGCACAATCAAAGCGAGATCCCTTACGAAAGACTCTCCAGTCGATCTAGGATTATCGTTTCGCTTAACCTGAGCGATCGATTGTTTCTCTTCTAGATGTTCCCCGCTAGGGATACATCTTTGTCCCAGTCCACCCGACTTATTCGAGTGGTGGACCTTCGGCGCAGCCTGTGTTTCCTCACAGCCGCCGGAACTTTGCTCCGAAGTGTAACCGTTTGTTACACTAAGGTTTCGTGCAGTCGTACTAACGACCGTACCACAAGTGAGGCCATCGCACTCACTCGTAGTACATCCACACGCTTGTGGACGCTCCAAAACGTTCATCAGATGGCCATCTGATGAACAAGCGGTAGGCATCGTTACTGTTCGATGTTGCCAGTTTACTCGTGGTTCGTACTTTCTGAGCCACGATATTCCAAGGATGACATCAAATTTGTCATCCAAATCCAATACGATAAAGTCATCGTCATATTGGGTATCTTCTAGCGTATAGTGGATCTTCACTATACGATTCATGACGGTTACGGATGCGCCTGTCGCAAGACGTACCGTCATCCTCGTAGGAGGTGTGTCACATTCACTGAACTTAAAGTGACCATCTTCTAGCGATTGGCGTCGCACAAAATTGTTGGACGCCCCACAATCGACTAGAGCTCGAAGGGACAACTTATTCGTCACTTCGAGTTTCAAGGTAATGAGTGATATCTCATTACCTAGAGCAGCAACGCACAACGTCTGTGTGTTGGGAGCAACCTTCATCAAGAGGCCTACAAATTCTCTTGACGTTGCTGGATCAGTAGGGTGCTCCGCACCTACTGATCCTGTCCGTTTTTGACGGTCCATCCCGTTGTTGCGTCTTTGCACCAACTGCGGACCCTCGTCCCTGCCCCTTTCTCATGGGTGGACGGTCACTACGCCCAGTGTCGCGAGACACTGGACGAGGGGCACTACACTCGTAAGCGTAGTGTCCTGTCTTTTGATATCTGTTGCATTTCTGCAACTTCTTGTAGTCTGTAGAGCGAGCCTTCTCGCTCTCTACATAACAGAGTTCCATCGGCTCTGGACCTCCGCTGTCATATCGTCTCGGTGTACGATATGATGTCGAGCTGGCGCGAGCCTGTCTCAGACTGAAGTCTTCCTGTTCTGCAATGGAAATGGCTTGTTCTAGTGAATCTAGTTCAAGCCGGAACAGGTGAGTCTTGACGGGAACATCCGCAAGACCCTGCATGAACACCGAAACCAACGTGTGTTCATCCACCGGATTAGAACTTATACAACTCGTGAGATGTCGTATATGTTGAGCGTAAGCGTGCACATCACGCTTACCCTGCTTGAGCTTCAAGAGTTCGGTTGGAGCCCTGAACTCAGCTCTAGGCGGTTCGAACGTTTGTCTGAGCCGCGACTTGAAGACTTCCAACGACCCAAACGCATATGGGGCGTGCAACTTGAGCCCCAGTGCCCAAGTCTTGGCACGTCCTGCCAGATTTGACTGGGCAAATGCAACTTGCATACCCCCGTCGTCGATGCGACGCGCCCTTATGGCGTCACCCAATTCGACGAACCATCTCAAGAGGGAGTCCTCTTCGACCCCCCTATACTTGGAGATGTCAATCTTCAAAGTCTCGGGTCGACGCGAGTGCATCGACCCGCCAGCAGCAGCCTGCTGCTGTCTCAACAGTTCAAACTGTTGAGCACCCTGTTCTCTCAACAACTCTGCTTGTTGAGAACCTTGTTGGTGAAGCAAGGCTACTTTCTCGCGTTCTGCGTCAAGTTCATTTTGAATGAACTTGGCGATAGTAGCATGTTGGGCATCTCTATTGAGAGCCTCTAGCATGACGCTAACAGCATGAATGCCCATGGTCGAACCCATTCGTTCAACCGCATCCCATTCGACATCGCTCAAATGGGAGTAGCCGTCACGCGTAGCGTGAAAGCTTTGGTCATCTTCATCATCCAACATATTCATGTTGGATGTGAACGTGGTCCTTGGACGGACTACGAAGTGCTACCAGGTGTAACGGGGCACCCTGAAGCTTGTACTGGTGACAGTACAAGCTACTTATTCTGATGACAGAATAAGGCGGTGCCTCGTAACTTCACGTACACTGGTACGTGCAGAGGGAAGACGGTAAGAAGAAGCGAGTACTTGGTTAGAGTAAAAAGTAGAACTGTATTTATAATAGTTAATGTCTGCAATAAATCACTATTTATCTTCATCTAACTATGTCTAAATACAAATGTGTAAATCAGTTATCTGCTCACCACTCATTGCGTGCGTCTGTCGTGGCGCGTCTTCGTTGGTTGATATAATGGCCTATATCAACCAATTAGGAACTACTCGTAAGTGCTACAGAATATTTGTCCTTATGACAATATTCTGAGAATATAACTCTAATAGTTATATTCTATTAACAATTTCTTATAAATTGTTATGTAACGATTCACCCCGTTACACAAGGCGGAGTGTCGCTTTCCACCATGGAGGCGGAGTTTGTCGCTGCGTCGGAGCAAGTGCTCGAGCTGCTTGGCATCAGGGACATGCTGTGCGAAATCGGGAAGCCCCTTATGCTCCCGATGGCACTGTACGTCGACAATCAAGCGGCGTTGAAGCAGTTGGCGGGCGAGGCGTCGTCTCTAAAGGCGAAGCATATTGACGTGCGCCTGAAGTTTGTCTGCGACTACGCCCGGCGTGGGATAGCCGCGGCCCAGTATTTGCGCTCGGAGCTGCAACTGGCGGACCTGTTAAACAAGGCCCTCGACGCCGCAGAACTCGCAGAGTTGTGCAAGTTGCTACAACTCGCTAAATGGACGGAAAGTCATGGCCGATGAGGAGTGTTGAAAACGAGGGTGTCGTGCTAAGTGCGTTTGCGAAAGGGCGCGCGGCACGACGACGGGAATGGCGGTCACTGACTGTGATTGTATAGTGCATTGTGTGAGACAATATGCGTGATTTGCAGATCGAGTGGACAGATATGGTGGTGAGTAAAGAGTGGAAAAGAGATAATAAAATATCAATGACAGAATCCCTTTACTACAGTGCAAGAGAGTACTTTATCTATTGCAAACACTTTTGACTTTCGCCCCATTACATCGTCCGGATTTCGATTTGCGCCGCTTTGTTCTTTTTTGTTTGCCAATGTCCTCCATTGGATTTCCCTTTATTTTAGGTAGAATTAACCTTTTTAAGAGTATAACGATACGTATTCTACCAAAGTCAGGTTTACACTGAACGATCTTTATGTTCACATACAATAGAAACATGCGTAACAACCGGTGCGGGTCGACGAAACGTTGGGACTGTAACACACAATATCATCGACATGACACTGTCCAGTTGTAAGAACTCCGCTTTGGTCTGCTGCATTGCAAATGCTGTAAATGATGTGTCAATTAGCCTGCGGCCACAAACTTGCAGATAGCCCGGTGCTTCTATAGCATACCGTGGATTTAGCCCTTCACTCACAAGAGAACAATGCTAACGCCATCGTCCTGGACCAGAGAGTCGGAACTATCCACAGAGTTGCCCTCTTCTTCAGATCATACAACCATACGACATGTGGCACATGTTTTGCGTTGCTATTGTTTTCATGCGGGCATGCCTATCCAGCTGTTAGCATTTTCCACCTTCGTCATTAGCTATCGTGCCACTCACGGCACCCACACAGTACTTCGTTGACTCGATTGCCGCTTCACTGTGTCATTCATCACCTTTGAAGTAGAGGAAGTGGAGATGAAGTTTCTGGTACGCGCTGCTGCTGTGGCCATCACAGTAGCGGGAAGGAGCGCTCGGGCCACTGTGGACGACCCTGATGTCGGCGAAGGTTTCGACTTTCGTGGCAAAACTGTTGAGGCCGCCACCCAAAAACTGGTCCATGCTTTCATCCCTCCAAGTACTGACAGTGTACTTCACCAAGGTCCGACAGTCCAAGGACCGATGGTCAGCAGTTCACACTCGACGAGTGGCGGCTATTTCGCCCCATTCGGCTTCGACGAGCCGTCCGAGACTCTGTACAAACGGAACGGTAGCCTTGCAAGGCTTGCCCCGATCATTAACGTCGCTCCGGAAGCCCTCAACCAGTCGATCCCAACGAATAAGTGGTGGGGGAACCTGATTCACGTCACTGCTACAAACAAGTCCGAGAACTTTCCAGCATGGGCTCAGCCTTACGCGTTCATGCTGCCCAAAGTACCGCCGTTTGGGTTGCAGACGTACTATCCCTACACGTATCGTGAGATGGCACCGGAAATCAACGGCACTGTTCAATATTACGAACATGGGATCCACAACGACCTGATGCTCTCAGCACGAGAGTTCAACGAGACGAGACCGACGTACGAAGTGTACTCGTGGAGTGACATGGGTATCAACCTCCGAATTTGTGATCCTCGTGGTACCAACTGCATGGACTCAGCACTCTCGAGTGGCATGGCGTTCGTGTCGGGCACGTATGACTGTCTCACTCCACGCATCGAAACCGAGTACAACATCACATTTGTGGACGAATCGGTGCCAGGCAAGTTCATTGTGTATCTCAGCAACAACCAGACGTGGGTGCTATACGCCAGTGATACGAGTCTTTCGTTGCGCGTGGAAGAGTCGGTGAACTTCTCTATGAACGCATCGGGATCGTCTCTTGTCGCGGACGATACGTATGCAGGCACGATACGAGTTGCGATACTACCGGAAGGTGCAGCAGACACACTGTACGATGACTACGTTTCGTGTATCGTACGGGGCGGTACTGTTTCGATGGAATCGCGCACGCAGTACTCGCTGACCTGGGATGCTGAAGGCAGCAGCTGTGACACGGTGGGTTTGCTGCACTTTGCACTACCACACCAGGTCGAGTCGATGACTGGATCCCCGATAACAGCTGAGACGCCGGGTGCCATCATGCTTAACTCAACTACGCGAGGTTTGATGGTGGCCCAAGTGTCAGTGTGCTGGTCGTTCGTAGTACCTGAGGCAGATATCGAAATCGACTTCTACCCAGCTAAGAAACCGACGCCTTACATTGTTCAGGAAACCGACATGCTTCGCACCTTGCAAGACGATATTTATGCCAACTGGACTCTGGCTGCCAACAGTTGGTACTTTAACGGAAAGGCTTTGCAGAAGTACGCGTCGCTGTGTCTCATGGCAGCGGACAGCACGGTAGTTGACTCGGACACGGTGCTGCTGGCGCATTGTATAGAGAAGCTGGAGACGTTGGTTGAACCACTGCTGAACAACACGATGTCGCCTCCTCTCGTCTACGAAACGCTATATGGCGGGGTCGTGTCGGGTTTCATTTTTGACACTGATCAATTGTACATGGACTTCGGCAGTGGGATCTACAACGACCATCACTACCACTTCGGCTACTATGTGACGCCCGCAGCGATTATCAAGCACTTGGATCCGACTTGGTCTCGGATGTCGGAGCTAGAAGACTTGATCTGGATGTTGCTGCGCGATGTAACCAACCCAAGCCTGGACGATCCCATCTATCCTCGGTTCCGTCATTTCTCGTGGTATCACGGACACTCGTATTCACGTGGCGTGACGCTGCTTGACCATGGCAAGGATCAAGAGAGCACGTCTGAAGATCTAAACTTCTACTACGGCATGACTCTATGGGGCAAAGAGACTGGCCACAAGGCGCTGGAAGATCTTGGAAGTCTTATGCTGCGCCTGAACGCGCGTACGGCCCGTGAGTACTTCTTGCTGTCTTCGGACAATAAGATTCACCCGCCCGAGATCGTGCGGAACCGTGTCACTGGCATTTTCTTCGATAACAAGGTGTACTATAACACTTGGTTCCTTGATGAGAAGTATGCAATCCACGGCATCCAGATGATCCCGGTGTCGCCGGCCAATGCGTTGGCACGCACGCCAGCATTCGTGACAGAGGAGTGGAATGATGTTCTGTCCAAGGAACCGATTGTCACCATGAAAAACAGCAACAACACGTGGTTGTCGTTGTTGTTGGTGAATGGGGCGGTCGTGAACAAGATGGATTCGTTGTACAAACTGATGAATGCAACAATGGATGACGGTCTGTCCCGGTCGTGGGCGCTCTATAACGCTGCTGCTGTGTGCTAAGGTCAAGTCCACTTTGCTGAGAGGCGCTCAAATGGCGCTTGATTTGCTGGGGCTCCGTAACTTGCACTGGCACATGGATGGCACTAGGGTACGTCCACTGTAAAAGGACAGTAGAATAAAACAACGAAAGTCATGTGAAAGCACAAGTGGAAAAGAACGCGAAAAGACCAAGCCATACAATCCCAAGTTCCAACATTATCACGTCATAAGGTCATGCGACTCATAAGCTTATCAGCACGAGTACATCTATACTAGGTTCTATGCGCATAACCTCGAATAGTATTGCCAAGCGTCCTTCCTTGCCAGACGAGTGACATGCGACGAGATTAGTCTCAACTAAAGCATTACTTACCACGCGAGCCAATTTGAAATTTTGTTTTAACATCGCGATCTATAGTAGCAAAGATCAGGATGGCGGTTCGAGCAGCGTACAACATCAAGTGAATGTTCGATTAGAGCTAAGTTTCTTGGATTGATAAGCATCACGCAAAACCGTTTCTAAATCACTCCGTTCACTGCAAGTCAGTATCATTCGATGCCAATTAATTGTACTCGTCGGTATTTCTGTCATCAACTCGTGTGAACCAGCTGTTTCGCAATCACAATTGACCAGGTTCCGGTATGCACCGGTATACTGCCATATTCGGTATCCACTTCAGGAACCACTCACCGAGAATGCTGCAGCGTACGAGCTGCCTCGTGCGTCACATTATCGATCGAGACGAAGCGCAGTGTGCGTTGAACCGACGCATCTACTCCGAAGCAAGTTTTATACAGCTTCTTGGACACAATAACAAGGAAATCGACAGTTTTTACTAATATTGTGACCCCTTATCTTAGGTCCAGAGCGTGCTGGATGAGATCGTGTACGACGTCGAGAGCTGTGAGCACGCGTGCGAGCTTGAACGATTGCGACGCAGACTCGATATGGCTGAAAGGGCTCTGGTGGAGTATCGCGAGCGTGAGAACGATCTGATTCAGGAGCGACAGCAGGTCCACCACTGCTTTTGTGACAAAAAGGGAGAAGATTTGAATCAACTAATGCATGTTTCCAAGCCACGGTGTAGGCATACGAGCATGCTGTCAAGATCGAACAAGAAGGCAGAATGATCTGGACCAAAGTAAATCAGCACATGTCTGTTGTTGAGTCGGAGCTCGCGATGAAAGAAGTGTACGTCGAGGTGTAGCGTATTCGTGAAACTACTGTATGTCTTCTGATGAGCAGATGTTACAGCATGGAAACCGAATTGAAACAAGCGAAAGAGCAACTGAAGTTGACTGGTCAGCTTTCGAAGGAGCTAGCTGCCGCACAGCGTGAGATCCGAGAACTGCGACGTTCTAATGATATTCAGACCAGCTTTCGACGGAACGTTTCGGAACCAAACTCAAGTGTTCTTCAACGGGGAAACAACTTGCTTGCAGAGGCCAGGTCCATGTCTCCAGAGCTGAAGGCCACAATGAAACAAAGTGAAAACGTTTTCTCACAAATTCCGGACAATGTGATGCTCAAGCTGTTTTCATTTTTGGATGAAGAAAGCAAGCTTCGGATTAGTGTCACTGATAAAGTGTTGGTGAGACGCGTAAACTGCTTGTTTGGGGTCACGACACCTTCGACTTTGGCGAAAAGTGTTCCTTGTACCCCTGCAAAACAATCTTCACCCAGACCACAGAAACGGTTGGCGATGCGAAGCTTCAGCTTCGTTGGTTCGTCAGAAAAAGACAAGGTGTTGTGCAATGCTGTTGGAAGTATCTTGTTCACTACACGCTCATAACGACACCATGTAGGCTGGTCTCACACAGCGGTCAAAGATGGACGCAATCGTGAAATCATTGAAACCAGATCAAATCAAACTCTTTCACGACATGTCAATCAGGGTGAAGACATTGGAGGTACGTTGATACTTTCATATGATTTGCTGACAACAGTCCACGTGAAGCTTACTACAAAGCTGCAGGCCCATCTTTCTCAGGTGCAGACCGAAAGGGAAGACGTTGCCGCACGCTTGTACAATGCAGAAAGTGTGCGTGATTTCTTGATGAAAAAGCTAACAGATACCGAAGAGATGGTTGCCGATATCAGAACAGCCTGTGCGAAGAAGGATGAGCAGGCTGCATTGGACCACGAGATTATCGGTTTCCTCGATGCAAAGACGCAGGAGTGCGAAAGCGCGCTGATAGAGTATGCGCACCAAAACAGCAGTCTTCGCATAGAAATCGAACAGCTACGCGAGAGCCACCGCTCCAACACAACGGTTCGTTGGTCTGTTCTATTCGGTATTGCACGCTGCGTTGTAATGTCAATTGGTACTGTGACTACAGATTATTCAAGACATGGTCAAGCTGCTGACAGAGGAGAAGAAAGAGCTCGAAGCTCAGGTAAGGTCTCAACGCAAGATCTTAGTGCGCGAAGTCAAAGTGCTTCGAGCTCAGAACCGGCAGCTCGGCACTGAAAAAGACCACTATTTCACACAACTCAAGCAACTCAAACACGCACTACAACATTTGGACGAGCTCAGCTGAGAATCGTTGCGTACGAGGGACATGCTTCCGTTCAAATGTCGAAGTGGTTGTTTTATCGGCTCATCCGTTTCAGGGCGACGATAGCTACGCGATGTGCTGCGCTGTTTCGCTGTATGCCAGATTCGTGCGATCGTACAGCGTGCATTCATGCTCGCAGATCAGCAGGTTCGATTCACTAACTTAGCGACTCCTGATGACAAGATGCTGCAACTTCCACTTGTGAGATGACTCGGTAAAGCACAAATGTACAAGTATTGTTCACAAAGGACTGTGGCGGTTAGGCGCAGCATCCTGCTCTTCTCAACACTGCCAAATACGGACGATAAGCCTCATGGAAGACACGCAAACCGTCAAAAGGGATTCTGATGTTCTATGAGCAACGTGGTAAAGAGTTGCGGGGCCTGGTGCACAACTATCGCATGAATTCTGTGCCCAGCTTAAGTCGTTTGGATGATGAATGCTCCACGATTGCAACATGATTATGCCGATCATTATCTAATGAATGCCTAAGAGCGTGATCACAAATGCCTTATTGAGGGAAACGCTCTCATCCAAACACCACTGCCGAGCCTGCTAAGGCATTACAAGGGGTGAATGCGATCGCTGCACCGCATGTGAAAGGGACTCAGTCAATTTACGAGTCGCAGCTGTAACGGGGTAGCCCGTTACATGATATTGGCACCAAATGGTGTCAATAGGGAGATTGTCCAGCGTGACAATTCCCTACCAATATTATCCTAGATGGATAATATTGAAGGAATATTATCCCCCTTTGGATAATATTCATGCGCTGCTCATACTTTGGTTGACAAAAGACATACCAACCACAGATTGCCATCAATCGCTGCTAGACGCGCGTAATGAGTGGTGAGCTAGTTGTCGTCATACGAAAATGTAGATTAACATAGTTCGATAAAGACTGAAGTTGTATTGATAGCTTAACTATATTAAATACAGTTCTTTTTTTACCTTTTACTCAAACTAGCTGTAACGGGGCACCCTGAAGCTTGTACTGGTGACAGTACAAGCTACTTATTCTGATAACAGAATAAGGCGGTGCCTCGTAACTTCACGTACACTCGTACGTGCAGAGGAAGACGGTAAGAAGAAGCGAGTACTCGGTTAGAGTAAAAAGTAGAACTGTATTTATAATAGTTAATGTCTGCAATAAATCACTATTTATCTTCATCTAACTATGTCTAAATACAAATGTGTAAATCAGTTATCTGCTCACCACTCATTGCGTGCGTCTGTCGTGGCGCGTCTTCGTTGGTTGATATAATGGCCTATATCAACCAATTAGGAACTACTTGGAAGTGCTACAGAATATTGTCCTTATGACAATATTCTGAGAATATAACTCTTATAGTTATATTCTATTAACAATTTCTTATAAATTGTTATGTAACGATTCACCCCGTTACATCACCCCCCTTAACCATCAGTCACTTTAGTGACTGATTGACTAAATGGATACTCGTCCCAAATCATTTGGGACGGGGTTTGCACTTGTTGGTCCGCGTCCACTTTCCAACATCTCATCGCATGGTAAACAAGCCCATGCGATGCGCGAGCAAGGCCGCCGAGAGCGCGTCTGCACGTCTCTGTGCGGACGCCGAAGCAGAAACTACAGCAACTGATATCCCATCGGTTGCTGAATCGACTCAGCCTGTATCACCTGGTGATGCAGGCGCTGGTCATGAAGACACTCGTGTCTTCACAGAGTACGAGCTCGGTGTCTCGTACTCTCCTGATACGGATGACGGATCCGTATCGACGGCAATTGAATCCAAGCCGCCTGCCAAGCGTGGCATGGACGATGCTTTGCGTCGCAGCATCTTTGGTTCATCTGATGAGTCAGATGAACCATCGCCGAAGCGAAGGCGCTCGAGGTCGCGAGACTCGGGCGCTAATAGTGGTGTCGGTTCTCCAATGGACACCACTTCGCAGCGAGGTGCCAGTACTTCTGTCGGCACGTCGCAGGAAGAGCGGGACCGCAATGTGTTGCGTCTCGCTCCAGAAAAGAAGGCATGGATGCCTCCTAAATCTGTCATGGATCACTTGTCGGCGACGACGAGTGATCGTTATCGAACACGATTGTTCGATTCGTCAAGGATCCATCACCTTGACCCCAGCGCGAAAGACTATCGCGCTGAACATGAGTTCTTCATCGATGCTTTCTTCAGACATCGATGGTACAGTGGGAATCACAAACGTGATGGTCCCTCACTACTTCAGGCGTGGAACGCCTACATCCATAATCTCGAGGATGTAGGTCGTGACGCTTGGAACGACAAACTTATCAAAGCTCGTGATAAGTTTGAAAAGCGAACCCCGACAGGTGCACGCTATAAGCTGCATCGTCTGTCAAGGGAGAAAGGATTACCCTGCCTCTCTTGGGGAGACTCGTGCCCATGTTGTGTGAACAACTCTGCACGAGCACCTAAGGAGGCTTACCTCCTTACCAGCCCGTGGTGGCGCGTACGTGTCTCTACTGAGATGTACGAAGGGATTGACAACCTGAAATCCCTTTACGACCGTGCCGGGAAGACTTTCTCCGGCGGTCCTTCTGCGGCACAGGATGTGTCGCGTCGTACTGCTCGACCAGACCCAGTACGTCAACCATCAATTGGGAGCGGGGCTCCCAAGAATCCCAGGACGGGGGATAGCCGCGCCACCGGACGAGGTAACTCGTCCGACGTCCGTTCACGTCGCGGTGGTTCAACAGCTGCTCTACTAGATAGCGCTGGCCACCGCGAGAGTCCTCTAATGGAGGTGGAGGAGGAGGAAAGACGCTCTCCACACGATCATGTGGATCGGTGTGTTCCCGAGAGCTTCTTTGATCGCGTAACGCAAGGGTTACGCGACGATCTCGAGCATGAGCGGAATAGGCGTCTCCAGATGGTGGACACTGCCTCGAAGCATCGAGCTGAGTTTGCCTTTGCTCAGCTTGAGAACGAGAGATCTCTGACATCTCTTCGTGACGAGCTAAGGGTAGCTCGTGGGATTGTTGATCGGTCTCGGGCTGAGATAACTGCTCTTCAGACCCTTGTTGATGCCCACCATCGGGAGCACAAGGCTCTCTGCGAGATGCTTGAGCGCAAGGGCGTTCTTCATCGGAAGAAGCAGCGTACTGATGGTACGGCTTAAGCCGACCAACGTAAAACGTGGGATGCGTTCGCATCTTACGTGGTAACTCGATCGTGTATGCATTGCCTAGGCGGTGCAATACACGAAATGGACCAATGTACTTGGGTAGTAGTTTACTGCTACCCAAGTTAGTCACTACATGTTTTGGTAGATTAACCGTAGACAGTAGGACTAAGTCACCTTTATTAAATAAAAGAGTGTTTGCCCTTCCATTCTTGTCAGCGTTTTGCTTTTGCTTATCCACCGCTTCGGCGATGGAGTCTTGCACAAAACGGACTACCGTTTCACGAGCCAGTATGAACTCATCTGATGACTCGTTAGCTTCAGTGTGCTGTGAGCGCACTGCAGCGACAACAACCTTTTCTTCAGTGAGGGCTTCCGCACTCTCACTGGGATCATTGTCTTCAGTGAGGGCTTCCGCACTCTCACTGGCATCATCTTCTTCGATATCGATGTTATCGATATCGGCATCAAACGCAATGACTTCTTCGTCAGAGCGTGATGAGCGTGAACCAAATCGGTTTTTGCTCGCGCGAGTCCCTCCCCCCTTAAACCAGAGTTACACTCTAGTAAGGTGGGTACACGCGGATGGCGCAAGCCATTCACGTAAAACGGTGTATGTGTCGTGGACGCATGCACCGAGTTGTTGATGGCAAACTCTACCATTGGCAAAAACTCACTCCAACTTTTAAAGGAGTGTACGTATCCTCGAAGTATCTCTTCGAGGACACGGTTGGCACGTTCCGTCTGACCATCTGACTCTGGATGATCAGATGTTGACATCTTCAAGCGCGTTCCGAGTGATTTGAACACGGAACGCCAGAAATCAGCAGTGAATCGTGGATCTCTGTCTGATACGAGTTCACGGGGCAACCCATGAAGTCGGAAGATGGTGTCAATAAAGACACAAGCACAGCCACTTGCCGTGATTGTCTCTGGTACAGCCACAAGGTGTACCATTTTGCTGAATCTGTCAACAAATACGAGAATACCCGTATTCCCGCGTGCGTCTTTGGGTAACCCGAAGACGAAATCCATTGAGATGGATTCCCAGCACTCAGCCGGAACCGGTAGAGGCTGTAAAGGTGCACGCAGTGAAGGACTTGACTTCACTCGTTGGCAGACTTCGCATGCGCGAACATACTTTCGCACAAACTGATACTGGCGGGGCCAGTAAAAGTCTCGACTTACCGTGAGATATGTTTTCTCTCGGCCACGATGTACTCCTATAGGAGCATCGTGATACTCGAACATGATCCGCAAACGCAGATCAGTATCATCTGGAATGACAACACGTGGTGTGTCACCAGAAACGGCTGTATAGTACAGTAAACCGTTACGAGTAGTGTATCGATCTGATGCAGATCGATACGCAGACGACAATCGTTTCAACGATTCTCGAGATGGTTGGGAGAGATGTGACAACAACTTCACTATCTCACCATCTTGGGCGTATGCCCGCCTCACATCATCATACAACGTTGTAGATGGAACTGAGGACGTCATAACCGCAACAGTGACTGTCTCACTGTTGGGTTTCGCGACTGTTTCAAAGTCGGGACGACGTGAGAGTGCATCAGCGACGACATTAAGTCGTCCTGGTTTGTACTCGACCGTAAAGTTGTATTCTGCAAAGAATGACAACCACCGCGCCATTCGTTGTGAAAGGTGCGGGCTGTTCACTGCCGTGCGTAAGGACGCATGGTCAGTGTAAACAACGAAGGGTCTATCTCTAATAGATAGACTCTGAACTTCGCGAGTGCATACTTCATGGCAAGGAGTTCCTTGTCATGCACTGGATAGTTCCGCTCAGCTGGTTGCAGCTGACGCGACTGATAGCAGACGACGCGTTCAACGCCTTCAAGGTCGTACTGCATTAATGCACAGCCGATTGCGAAATCGCTGGCATCACAGACCACATGAAATGGCCTGTCCTGATCGGCTATTGCTAGGACTGGGGATTGTATCAAGCTCTGCTTGATACCCTCAAAGGCGTTGACATTCAGCGTTCCATAACCACCTCTCGTTCTTTTCAACAAACGAGAGAGGTGTACAGTCATCTCGGCGTAATTGCGTGAATACTTATGCAAATACGCCGCTAGCTAAGGAATTTTCGAAGACCTTTGACATCGACCGGCACGGGCCAGTCGGTGATCGCCTTGATCTTTTCGGGATCAGGACGTACACCGTTCTTACCAACGATGCACCCAAGAAGTGGTATTTCGCTTGCTGCAAATATACACTTCTTGAGGTTTGCATACAATTGATGCTTTCGCATGATTGTAAGAACTTGTCGGACGTGGTACTTGTGAACCTCAACGTCCGACTTTCCATCCATAGCTCGACTATGGATGAATACGTCATCGAAATAACTCGGCGCGAATTCTCGTACTGGCCTCAACAGATGTGATACACACCTGTTGAACGTGGCAGGGGCATTACTGAGCCCTTGTGGCATTACTAGCCATTCCCAGAGCATGCCGCTAGGCGTGCTAACTGCGGTATAGGGTATATCCCGTTCCGCATTAGGATTTGATAGAAGCCATCCATCAAATCCATGGACGAAAAGATGGTACTCTTTGACATACCATCAATGATTACGTCCTTCCTCGGTATCGGCGTCTGAGCCGGTACCGTTGCAGCGTTCAATTTGTTGAACGCGTGCACTATCCGCCACCCTCCTGTTGCTTTTCGCACACAGAAGGTCGGAGAGCTATGTGGGGAAGTTGATTCCCTCACATGGCCCGCTGCTAAACGATCGGCAAAGAACTTGTCGATCGCAAGTACTTGTTCACGAGGCAGTGGCCACTGCTTCATGACACAGTACTTCGAGCCTGGTTTAAGCTCGACTTCGTGTCGAATACCTTTATCCTTCGGTAATTCGCACGGAACAGTTTCAGGGAATACATCCTTGAATTCAACCAAATCTTCATAGAGAGGATTTTCCTTGAGCGATTCCCATGATTGGGACTCATATCGCTCAATTCGTGTCTTTTCATCTAGGACACTCTCGTCCATAGATGAACTACTGAGAACTCTCTCGTTCTCAGTAAACACTGTTGCTGACCTTATGTCGGTTACATACTCGTCGTCAGCGACGAGTATGCAGATCTGCTTGACTTTGCCACTACGCAGATCACGCAAGAACCTTTTATGTTCGAGCGTTGGCAACTGAGTGATCTCCGAAGTTAACTTCGGAGGCGCAATCAGATCAAGTGTATAAGCGCCTACACATGATCCGTTATTGACTATGACATTCAATGTCTCTGTCATTTCCTGGGGACTTATTCCCTCAGGCTTCGAAGGACTTATTCCTTCGTCTTCCCGGGGACTTATTCCCGCGGGTTTCGGGGAACTTATTTCCGCCGTATTTGTAATCTTGGGACTTATTCCCTTTACTTCCTCTAGCTGGGGTTGCGCAACCACAGCGAGATCCTCTACGAAAGACTCTCCAGTCGATCTAGGATTATCGTTTCGCTTAACCTGAGCGATCGATTGTTTCTCTTCTAGATGTTCCCCTCTAGGGATACATCTTTGTCCCAGTCCACCCGACTTATTCGAGTGGTGGACCTTCGGCGCAGCCTGTGTTTCCTCACAGCCGCCGGAACTTTGCTCCGAAGTGTAACCGTTTGGTACACTAAGGTTTTGTGCAGTCGTACTAACGACCGTACCACAAGTGAGGCCATCGCACTCACTCATGTAGTACATCCACACGCTTGTGGACGCTCCCAAAACGTTCATCAGATGGCCATCTGATGAACAAGCGGCAGGCATCGTTACTGTCCGATGTTGCCAGTTTACCCGTGGTTCGTACCTTCTGAGCCACGGTATTCCAAGGATGACATCAAATTTGTCATCCAAATCCAATACGATAAAGTCATCGTCATATTGGGTATCTTCTAGCGTATAGTGAATCTTCACTATACGCTTCATGACGGTTACGGATGCGCCTGTCGCAAGACGTACCGTCATCCTCGTAGGAGGTGTGTCACATTCACTGAATTTAAAGTGACCATCTTCTAGCGATTGGCGTCGCACAAAATTGTTGGACGCCCCACAATCGACTAGAGCTCGAAGGGACAACTTATTCGTCACTTCGAGTTTCAAGGAAATGAGTGAGATCTCATTACCTAGAGCAGCAACGCACAATGTCTGTGTGTTGGGAGCAACCTTCATCAAGAGGCCTACAAATTCTCTTGACGTTGCTGGATCAGTAGGGTGCTCCGCACCTACTGATCCTGTCCGTTTTTTGACGGTCCATCCCGTTGTTGCGTCTTTTGCACCAACTGCGGACCCTCGTCCCTGCCCCTTTTCTCATGGGTGGACGGTCACTACGCCCAGTGTCGCGAGACACTGGACGAGGGGCACTACACTCGTAAGCGTAGTGTCCTGTCTTTTGACATCTGTTGCATCTCTGCAACTTCTTGTAGCCTGTAGAGCGAGCCTTCTCGCTCTCTACATAACAGAGTTCCATCGGCTCTGGACCTCCGTTGTCATATCGTCTCGGTTGACGATATGATGTCGAGCTGGCGCGAGCCTGTCTCAGACTGAAGTCTTCCTGTTCTGCAATGGAAATGGCTTGTTCTAGTGAATCTAGTTCAAGCCGGAACAGGTGAGTCTTGACGGGACCATCCGCAAGACCCTGCATGAACACCGAAACCAACGTGTGTTCATCCACCGGATTGGAACTTATACAACTCGTGAGATGTCGTATATGTTGAGCGTAAGCGTGCACATCACGCTTACCCTGCTTGAGCTTCAAGAGTTCGGTTCGAGCCCTGAACTCAGCTCTAGGCGGTTCAAACGTTTGTCTGAGCCGCGACTTGAAGACTTCCAACGACCCAAACGCGTATGGGTCGTGCAGCTTGAGCCCCAGTGCCCAAGTCTTGGCACGTCCTGCCAGATTTGACTGGGCAAATGCAACTTGCATATCCCCGTCGTCGATGCGACGCGCCCTTATGGCGTCATCCAATTCGACGAACCATCTCAAGAGGGAGTCTTCTTCGACCCCCCCTATACTTTGAGATGTCAATCTTCAAAGTCTCGGGTCGACGCGAGTGCATCGACCCGCCAGCAGCAGCTTGCTGCTGTCTCAACAGTTCAAACTGTTGAGCACCTTGTTCTCTCAACAACTCTGCTTGTTGAGAACCTTGTTGGTGAAGCAAGGCTACTTTCTCGCGTTCTGCGTCAAGTTCATTTTGAATGAACTTGGCGATAGTAGCATGTTGGGCATCTCTATTGAGAGCCTCTAGCATGACGCTAACAGCATGGATGCCCATGGTCGAACCCATTCGTTCAACCGCATCCCATTCGACATCGCTCAAATGGGAGTAGCCGTCACGCGTAGCGTGAAAGCTTTGGTCATCTTCATCATCCAACATATTCATGTTGGATGTGAACGCGGTCCTTGGACGGACTACGAAGTGCTACCAGGTGCAACGGGGCACCCTGAAGCTTGTACTGGTGACAGTACAAGCTACTTATTCTGATAACAGAATAAGGCGGTGCCTCGTAACTTCACGTACACTCGTACGTGCAGAGGAAGACGGTAAGAAGAAGCGAGTACTCGGTTAGAGTAAAAAAGTAGAACTGTATTTATAATAGTTAATGTCTGCAATAAATCACTATTTATCTTCATCTAACTATGTCTAAATACAAATGTGTAAATCAGTTATCTGCTCACCACTCATTGCGTGCGTCTGTCGTGGCGCGTCTTCGTTGGTTGATATAATGGCCTATATCAACCAATTAGGAACTACTTGGAAGTGCTACAGAATATTGTCCTTATGACAATATTCTGAGAATATAACTCTTATAGTTATATTCTATTAACAATTTCTTATAAATTGTTATGTAACGATTCACCCCGTTACACTAGCTGTTTGAGCAAAGTAGCTTCCTCTGCACGTACTAGTGTACGTGAAGTTTCGTGGCATACCAAACAAAGGGTGTCCCGTAACACCTGGTAGCACTTCGTAGTCCGTTCAACGACTAATTAGTGTCCATCCAAAATGAACATGTCGGACGTAGAAGACGACAGCTTTCACGTCACACGTGAAGGCTACTCCCATCTGAGTGACTCAGAATGGGAGGTAGTCGGCCGCATGAGTGTGCTCATGGGCTAATTCGCCATCAGTGGTATGTTGGAGTCTTTAAGCAGAGACCAGCAACATGCTGCTATCAACAAGTTCCTACTAGGGGAACTTGCTGTCGAAAGACAGAAGATAGCCTTGCTGCAACAGCAAGGCTCTCATCAGTCGATGGGCGGGCCGACGCACATGCGTCGACCCGAAATCTTGAAGATTGATATCTCAAGGTGTAACGGGGTGAATCGTTACATAACAATTTATAAGAAATTGTTAATAGAATATAACTATAAGAGTTATATTCTCAGAATATTGTCATAAGGACAATATTCTGTAGCACTTCCAAGTAGTTCCTAATTGGTTGATATAGGCCATTATATCAACCAACGAAGACGCGCCACGACAGACGCACGCAATGAGTGGTGAGCAGATAACTGATTTACACATTTGTATTTAGACATAGTTAGATGAAGATAAATAGTGATTTATTGCAGACATTAACTATTATAAATACGGTTCTACTTTTTACTCTAACCGAGTACTCGCTTCTTCTTACCGTCTTCCTCTGCACGTACGAGTGTACGTGAAGTTACGAGGCACCGCCTTATTCCGTTATCAGAATAAGTAGCTTGTACTGTCACCAGTACAAGCTTCAGGGTGCCCCGTTACACCTGGTAGCACTTCGTAGTCCGTCCAAGGACCGCGTTCACATCCAACATGAATATGTTGGATGATGAAGATGACCAAAGCTTTCACGCTACGCGTGACGGCTACTCCCATTTGAGCGATGTCGAATGGGATGCGGTTGAACGAATGGGTTCGACCATGGGCATCCATGCTGTTAGCGTCATGCTAGAGGCTCTCAATAGAGATGCCCAACATGCTACTATCGCCAAGTTCATTCAAAATGAACTTGACGCAGAACGCGAGAAAGTAGCCTTGCTTCACCAACAAGGTTCTCAACAAGCAGAGTTGTTGAGAGAACAAGGTGCTCAACAGTTTGAACTGTTGAGACAGCAGCAGGCTGCTGCTGGCGGGTCGATACACTCGCGTCGGCCCGAGACTTTGAAGATTGACATCTCAAAGTATAGGGGGGTCGAAGAAGACTCCCTCTTGAGATGGTTCGTCGAATTGGATGACGCCATAAGGGCGCGTCGCATCGACGACGGGGATATGCAAGTTGCATTTGCCCAGTCAAATCTGGCAGGACGTGCCAAGACTTGGGCACTGGGGCTCAAGCTGCACGACCCATACGCGTTTGGGTCGTTGGAAGTCTTCAAGTCGCGGCTCAGACAAACGTTTGAACCGCCTAGAGCTGAGTTCAGAGCTCGAACCGAACTCTTGAAGCTCAAGCAGGGTAAGCGTGATGTGCACGCTTACGCTCAACATATACGACATCTCACGAGTTGTATAAGTTCCAATCCGGTGGATGAACACACGTTGGTTTCGGTGTTCATGCAGGGTCTTGCGGATGGTCCCGTCAAGACTCACCTGTTCCGGCTTGAACTAGATTCACTAGAACAAGCCATTTCAATTGCGGAGCAGGAAGACTTCAGTCTGAGACAGGCTCGCGCCAGCTCGACATCATATCGTCAACCGAGACGATATGACAACGGAGGTCCAGAGCCGATGGAACTCTGTTATGTAGAGAGCGAGAAGGCTCGCTCTACAGGCTACAAGAAGTTGCAGAGATGCAACAGATGTCAAAAGACAGGACACTACGCTTACGAGTGTAGTGCCCCTCGTCCAGTGTCTCGCGACACTGGGCGTAGTGACCGTCCACCCATGAGAAAGGGGCAGGGACGAGGGTCCGCAGTTGGTGCAAAGACGCAACAACGGGATGGACCGTCAAAAAACGGACAGGATCAGTAGGTGCGGAGCACCCTACTGATCCAGCAACGTCAAGAGAATTTGTAGGCCTCTTGATGAAGGTTGCTCCCAACACACAGACATTGTGCGTTGCTGCTCTAGGTAATGAGATCTCACTCATTACCTTGAAACTCGAAGTGACGAATAAGTTGTCCCTTCGAGCTCTAGTCGATTGTGGGGCGTCCAACAATTTTGTGCGACGCCAATCGCTAGAAGATGGTCACTTTAAATTCAGTGAATGTGACACACCTCCTACGAGGATGACGGTACGTCTTGCGACAGGCGCATCCGTAACCAATCATGAAGCGTATAGTGAAGATTCACTATACGCTAGAAGATACCCAATATGACGATGACTTTATCGTATTGGATTTGGATGACAAATTTGATGTCATCCTTGGAATACCGTGGCTCAGAAGGTACGAACCACGGGTAAACTGGCAACATCGGACAGTAACGATGCCTGCCGCTTGTTCATCAGATGGCCATCTGATGAACGTTTTGGAGCGTCCACAAGCGTGTGGATGTACTACGAGTGAGTGCGATGGCCTCACTTGTGGTACGGTCGTTAGTACGACTGCACAAAACCTTAGTGTACCAAACGGTTACACTTCGGAGCAAAGTTCCGGCGGCTGTGAGGAAACACAGGCTGCGCCGAAGGTCCACCACTCGAATAAGTCGGGTGGACTGGGACAAAGATGTATCCCTAGAGGGGAACATCTAGAAGAGAAACAATCGATCGCTCAGGTTAAGCGAAACGATAATCCTAGATCGACTGGAGAGTCTTTCGTAGAGGATCTCGCTGTGGTTGCGCAACCCCAGCTAGAGGAAGTAAAGGGAATAAGTCCCAAGATTACAAATACGGCGGAAATAAGTTCCCCGAAACCCGCGGGAATAAGTCCCCGGGAAGACGAAGGAATAAGTCCTTCGAAGCCTGAGGGAATAAGTCCCCAGGAAATGACAGAGACATTGAATGTCATAGTCAATAACGGATCATGTGTAGGCGCTTATACACTTGATCTGATTGCGCCTCCGAAGTTAACTTCGGAGATCACTCAGTTGCCAACGCTCGAACATAAAAGGTTCTTGCGTGATCTGCGTAGTGGCAAAGTCAAGCAGATCTGCATACTCGTCGCTGACGACGAGTATGTAACCGACATAAGGTCAGCAACAGTGTTTACTGAGAACGAGAGAGTTCTCAGTAGTTCATCTATGGACGAGAGTGTCCTAGATGAAAAGACACGAATTGAGCGATATGAGTCCCAATCATGGGAATCGCTCAAGGAAAATCCTCTCTATGAAGATTTGGTTGAATTCAAGGATGTATTCCCTGAAACTGTTCCGTGCGAATTACCGAAGGATAAAGGTATTCGACACGAAGTCGAGCTTAAACCAGGCTCGAAGTACTGTGTCATGAAGCAGTGGCCACTGCCTCGTGAACAAGTACTTGCGATCGACAAGTTCTTTGCCGATCGTTTAGCAGCGGGCCATGTGAGGGAATCAACTTCCCCACATAGCTCTCCGACCTTCTGTGTGCGAAAAGCAACAGGAGGGTGGCGGATAGTGCACGCGTTTAACAAATTGAACGCTGCAACGGTACCGGCTCAGACGCCGATACCGAGGAAGGACGTAATCATTGATGGTATGTCAAAGAGTACCATCTTTTCGTCCATGGATTTGATGGATGGCTTCTATCAAATCCTAATGCGGGAACGGGATATACCCTATACCGCAGTTAGCACGCCTAGCGGCATGCTCTGGGAATGGCTAGTAATGCCACAAGGGCTCAGTAATGCCCCTGCCACGTTCAACAGATGTGTATCACATCTGTTGAGACCAGTACGAGAGTTCGCGCCGAGTTATTTCGATGACGTATTCATCCATAGTCGAGCTATGGATGGAAAGTCGGACGTTGAGGTTCACAGGTACCACGTCCGACAAGTTCTTACAATCATGCGAAAGCATCAATTGTATGCTAACCTCAAGAAGTGTATATTTGCAGCAAGCGAAATACCACTTCTTGGGTGCATCGTTGGTAAGAACGGTGTACGTCCTGATCCCGAAAAGATCAAGGCGATCACCGACTGGCCTGTGCCGGTCGATGTCAAAGGTCTTCGAAAATTCCTTGGGCTAGCGGCGTATTTGCATAAGTATTCACGCAATTACGCCGAGATGACTGTACACCTCTCTCGTTTGTTGAAAAAGAACGAGAGGTGGTTATGGAACGCTGAATGTCAACGCTCCTTTGAGGGTATCAAGCAGAGCTTGATACAATCCCCAGTCCTAGCAATAGCCGATCAGGACAGGCCATTTCATGTGGTCTGTGATGCCAGCGATTTCGCAATCGGCTGTGCATTAATGCAGTACGACCTTGAAGGCGTTGAACGCGTCGTCTGCTATCAGTCGCGTCAGCTGCAACCAGCTGAGCGGAA